TGTACGTGTGCTTTCATTTAATTTCATAGCTCGCATTTATAACTTTAAAAAACACATATTAAATTTTTTTTTGCTAAAATTACGCTTGTTAATAATATTTGTTAGTACTTATATTTTAAATATATCCGCACGTAGACCTCGTGTAAAGACCGCCGATATTTTATTTTCAACCCGATGTCAGCGTCTTGTTCCTCCCTCACTCTCAAATCGTTCCTTCAAGAATATGAAGAAGTCAAATACTGTGATGGGATTTTAAAATTTTTAGAGCAATTTCATGTAATGTCTCGAGCTACCTATTGAATTTTCAGAATTATTTATTACAATGTGATAAATCATTGTCCCTCGTCGGTATCCCTGTTAAATATTTGACAACATTGGTTGTTGATGCCTTTCATTCTGATTGTAATGTTCCTCTCAAAAATTTAGTTCTTTACCTCTTGGAGATTCTGGGTAAGTGCCTATGATTGTATAGTTCGATTTAGCTCAGGATCTATACTCTCGTTGCTTGATTTTAAACGAGCCGAATACTCTTTCTGCTTTGGTCTTTGCACTTCCTAAAGGCGCTTCTGATAGCGACCCTTCACAAGTATACTTTTTTACATTTATTTTTTAGATTCTTAAAGTCATTCATACATTGACAACAGATTTCCATCATTTTTTCACTACATCTGATTTGGGTATTCTCAAGCTGCTCTTACAATTCGTTTTAAATGAAATTAAGGAAACATCCAGTCCTTATTTTGAAATCTGCTTGGGTATTTTGGCAAATGTTTCTTTTATTTCGAATTCTATAAGGCGATTTTTAAATTGGGAAGTAGGTCCATTGAAAATTCTTTATTTCCCTCTGAAGGCGCATAAGACACTCCGAAAGCGGCTTTTCCTTATAATAAGCTCCCCAAATGTCAAGCTAACTTATCTTGCTTATGCTTTGACAGCTTGGTTCAACTTGCGAGACTCTTCTCACAAGGTAATGTGTTTCATCATAACCTCGCTAGTTGTCAGAAGAGAGCAATTTTCACCAAAAAGTTCAAGTTTTGTTTAATCTTATTAGTGGGGATACTAAAATATGTAAAAGTTATTCCATCAGTCTTTTGGATAGCATGTTAATGGACCCCTTTGTTTCTGACCCACTTAAAAAGTAAGTGTAATTTACAACTTTTTAGTCCCAAATTTTTAGGCACTCAAGCCTACTCGGATCTGTTTCGGTGCTTCTTTCACAGATTCTTTCGCCAGATCCTCTGATAGTTGTCAAGGTATTTTTCAATTTGTTTTTAATGATTTTGCTGTTTTTTTATGAACTCTTCTTTTCAGTTCATGGGAGTCCTCGCAAACCTTGTAATGGATTCCTCTGAACCCGGTGAAAGTATTTTGGACTACTTTTGCGGACGTCATTCCTCAATAAGTCTAGCTGACAGCGCTATGACCTTCACTGCTGCTTTGGTTCAACTAATCACTGGCTACGATGATATTTTGGCATCAGCGACGTTGGATTTTCTTCTTGCTTGTTTCTGGGTAAATTTAATAATTTGCTCTTTTTTATTCGATTCTATTGGTAGAGGTAGGAAATTCATGCACTACGTAAATAGCTTTGATAAATTTGGCCCAAATCCTTTCATTTTGTTTAACCAATGGGCATTTTATCCATGCAACCGATGCTTCACTAATGCATAACCGTACGAGTGGCCTATATCTCTCAAGAATTACCTTATTTGATCTTCACTATTCTCTCCTATATACAATTCTCTTCACCTTGAACCATCATTTGGTTTATATTGTGAATTTTTTTCAATTTCTGAAATATTCGTTTATACGCCGGGGTATTACGTTTTTCATTTATTTATTTATGTATAAATCCTAGTTACTTGGGTCTGATTATAAATTCTTTATCCTTTAATTATTTCACCTCTGACTGTCTATGTCTGTGGATAGCATTTCTGAGAGGACGCTTTATGAAAGTTTTAGTCATGATTTTTCCATTAGATTTTTAAAGGAATTTGATGCATTCAATCATAATAGTGGCAATATTCTGCACAATCCTCAATTGCACATTACAGATAAAAATGGGTTTGTTTAGTTCTATCCTTATTATGAATTGGGATCTCGAGCATT